TATATATATATGTAAGGTTCTTCGTCGTCGTCGTCGTCGTCGTCGATCGATCGACTGCTCCTTTTCGAGAGGAGTCTGACAGCCGTGCGCGTTGTACTCTCACGTACTTACTCGGTACGTTAATAATGACGTGCACGCGTGGAATTCGATAGATTGCGAGCGATCCGCCACTGAAATTCGACATACAATCGGTAGTCGGCTCGCGAGTGGATTAGGGAGCTTGGATAAATTTTCAATTGGATCGCTAAGCTCTCTCGAAGCTCAACTGACGTTGTATGTTATGCTGGCATATTTCATAACAATTAGATATACAATACTTCAGAAATAGAGAACACATCCTGCGTCAATTCTATGCGTAAGAAAATAACAAGAAAGAAAGAAAGAGAGAGAGAGAGAGAGAGAGAGAGAGAGAGAGAGAGAGAGAGAGAGAAGGAGAGAATTTTAGTGATTTGAAAATCTCGATTAAAATTGCATCTCAAAAATAATCAATGTTTGTAGAAAAATAATTATTATAATATGATAAGAATGATTTTGCTGAAGTATATATAACTAAAAATTTAGGTGAATACAGATTTGAAAATGCTTTTGTTACATCTTCAAAATAATCATATACTCTCTGTGTAATAAATCATTATTTCTATTACAAGTAAACAAACATAATAGGATAAAAGGAAATTTAGTGACAAAGACTGTTAATTCTTATAACAGAGTTAACAATCCTTCTATGTTCACTAAGTTTTCTTTTATTCTCATGAAATAAAAATTTGAGGAATTGTTTAATTCAAAGTTAATGTCGCGCATACAAGTTGGATGTACGCAAACAATCTCTGTAGAAATTTTGCAGAGTCGAATCTTTCAACTGTGCGTGCATTTTGTGCATTTTTTCATTTTCGATGGGAAATTTTAGCTCGCCTTCGTTGCTCGTTAATGAAAATCAATGCTTGGACTCGTTAAATGCTCGCTATCCGCGTCAGGCAGCCCAAATAGTGAACACGTCGCATCTGATTCGAAAACGACGTGAATTCTCCATTTCAGTTAAATTTACGAGCATGCTGGTTTTAATTTATGCTGTATCCTGTTTGCTGCTGACTGATTTGTGATCTTGGCGAACAAGTTTTACGTCCACACTCGCGTGACATTTGATGTGAAAATATACCTCCCGTTCGTCTTGTCCGCCATTTTAAATCGATCAGATTTCGTTATTGTTTGAAAGTGTTATTAAGAATAACATATGCGCGTCGTTTCTGTAAATCTCACGTATGTACCTCCAATATTCCGTATACATTAAAAATTTTCGTAATATAATACCTTCCCATTCTTTATCTCATCCAGCAAAAACTCTCTCTTGATTCAGTATAAATTAAAATAAAAAATATTCTACATATACCAAGAGAAAAAGAATTTTCATTATATTTTAAAAGAAAATACACAATCATCAGTATATTTACATAACTATTAATAAATAAAATAAATTAATTAATATATAATATTTTTATGTATTTCATTTGTACGATTTTATATTGCATCTTACAATATCATAAAGACTACAATTAAAAAACGTACTTATTAAACTTAAATATAATTGTATTATACTTAAATATAAAGATTGTGAGAAAGGTATAATCGTTGGATTAATGTATATTTCAAAATCAATTTGCTGTGTATACATCATAACATGCAAATGTGTTAATATAGAAGGAATATGTTGAGTCAGTTAAAATAATAATACATTGCATATGCCACATTTCCACAAGAATGCGCATAGTCATTGCACGATAATTATAATTGAATACTATTTAAAATTAATGATTACTGGCACCGAGCTATTAGTGCAAATTTTATCTCTGTTCTCGTCTATTTAATGCAGCGATGTGCCATAATAACGCATCGATTTACGGATTTGCAGTAAAAGCATATATATGCACGCAACTATTAACATTTTCAGAATGCTCAACGAGATAGCGCGCTGATAGGAAGTTCTATATTGGATTCCTTTATGTCGGCGACATCCTGTGTGTGTGTGTGTGTGTGTGTGTGTGTGTGTGTGTATATATACAATACATACATGTACATACATACACATATGTCATCAAATCCGGACAAATTTCAATTTAAATTTTCCGCTATATTGTGCCAGAAGTTATTGTTGGCGTCCGAAAAAGCCTGATGCTTCTAGTGAACAGTCATATTCTCAAAATGGTCGCGATGTTAAAACCAAGTGCGGAGTATAATCGAAGAGCCGTAATCATCGAAGGCCTTCACGCTGGGCGCTCAGCAACGGAAATAATTCGGTTCTTTAAATACCCGAGATCAATCGTTTATGACATTGTGGCAAAAAAATAAATATACAGCTTTAGAATAGTCTAACGAAGGTTCCAGTATGCCAGCGAGGAAAAATCACTCGAAAGAAGGCACTGCGAGGACTCCCGCAGTCATTGAAAGGACTCAAGCGCTGATTTCGGATGATTCAGGGCAATCATTGCGAAAATTAGCATCGATTGTTGGTGTAAGCAAGCCAATAATGCGTCGAATTGCCGAGGAGGATCTTCGATATAAATCGTACACATTAAAGATACGACAGATGCTCTCTGAAACTGCCAGGACAAGCCGAGTTGCTCATCTCGGCTCTCATTCTGACCTCCCAACAACCCAGATTTAAATCTCTTGGACTACTATGTACGGAGCGTAGTTGAAAGGACCACAAACAAGTCTCGGCATCCCAATGTGACATTATTGAGAACCGCTATTGAGGCAACATTTGTCGGTATGGACAGCGCTACATTACAGCATGCGCGCGAACGCTTCAGATCGAGAATAGAGACTATTATTTAAGCTAATGGGGGATATATCGAATAATTGTGCTCTACAGAGATCCCCCAAGTACCATGTAAAAGGATTTTTTGTAATATTTAATTTTTCATTAAAAACATTTTGTTTAAAGAAATTGTTCAATTTGTTGGATTTTGGTGACGCACCCTGTATATATGTATGTATAGACTGCGTGAAATGGCGTTAAAATAACAAAATAATGTGTATCATTCTAAATTTCTTGTAGTAAAATCTCACTCTAAGAAAGTGAAAATACAATCCTTGAAAAAAGCGAAAAAATGTGTGTGTATTTTTACTCTCTTAGAGAATGAGATTTCATTGCAAGATTTAGAATGAAATATGTACATATATTTCGTTATTTTAAGCGCCATTTCACGCAATGTCTTGGAGTTAAACTTGTCAATAAAATGTTCTTTCACAATTGAAAAAAACTGATGTATTTTTACTCGAGCGTGACATTCTTTAATTAATTATTTCACGAACAGATCAATAGGGAATAAAGATTGAATCTCCGAAGTATGGAGTCGCGAGCTATAGTCAGATCATCAACAACGTGATAACGCGATTGTGCTACTCGGATTCATCAGCAATTTCGATCTTTTTCATTAAATAAGTAAGGAGTTTAATTTTTCTCGTTGGATTCTTGCATTTCTTTTATGACCCTGTCAGAAACTGAAACGGTGAGTTCTTGTAGAGCGCAAGATTTGCGTATGCATGAGAATTTTTGTATTAATAATTCAACGAGTATTTCCTTACACAGAGCAATATATATTATCGATTTCTCTTAACAAAGTTCACCAAAGTTAGACGGAAAATGCTTCATTTTAGCATACAAAACTGAAAATTCCAAAGTTTAATTCTTGTGATATATTAATAATTCATCCAGTATCTGCTTTTTAGACATGTTTAGATATATATATCTTAATTGCGAGAAAAATTAAGTCATTCCTTAACAACTTTATTTCTTGAAGTTGAATTTCAGAAGATCTGGACAGAAATTTTGAGATGCACTTTCAAGACAGTATTATTTTGAAATTAATATTTTAGAGAGATGAAATTTTACAAACTATTTATTCTAAAATCATTAAGATTGAGAAAATATAAATACTTTCATCTGCTGTTCTAGCACATTTATGAAGCAAATCGGGTATGCAAAAATGAAGATTTCCTCTCTTTCATAGCTTGGCTATAAAAATAATTAATGATATT